TTTAGAGGGTTCCGGGTGTAGTGGATTATGTGTTTAGAGGGTTAGCATTTTAGGGGCATAGGTGTTTTAAGGGTTAGGCTTCTAGAGGGTTCGTTCTTTAGAGGGTTGGGGTTTAAATGTGTTAGGATTAGGTTACAGATTTAGGTTTTTAGAACGTTAGGGTTTTGAGGGTTAGGATTTTAGAGGTTGAGGATTTAGGAGGTTATGAGTTCAGAGGGTTAGGGGTCTAGAGGGTTAGTTCTTTAGAGGGTAGTGGTTTAGATTGGTTGGTATTTAGAATGTTAGGGATTTAGGGTTTTAGAAGGTTAGGGTTTCAAGGATTAGAGGGTTAGGGATTCAGAGGGTTTAGAGGGTTTGGTTTTTAATGGCTTAGACGGTTAGGGTTAAAAGAATAAGGGGTTTAGAGAGTGAGGGTTTTGGTGGGTTAGGGTTTTAACGGTAAAGGGGTTGAGGGTTAGGGGTATAGGAATTTAGAGGGTTAGGGGTTGAGATGGTTAGAGTTTTGGGGGTTTAGAGGTTAAGCTTTTAGAGGGCGAGGGGTTTAAAGATTAGGGTTGTAAGGGTAAAGGGGTTGAGAGGGTTAGCGGTTTAGATGGTTATGGATTTAGATAGTTAGGGGTTTAGAGGGTTTTAATTGTTCGAGGTTTAGTGGTTAAGGTCTCTGTGCGAGTCCAACATGTTTGTATGAGTCTATGGTAAGATAAAAAGAGTTCAGTTTAATTAGTATATTTCGAAACAATTTGTTTACCTTTCCTGTGATGTTTTTGTATTGTATATTTGTTGTTATTTTCTGACCCACCCGATTGGACGTCTGTGAAAACAGATCGTTATAGCTCATCAGATTCATCCAGTATAAATAAATATTCAAATTAAAAATCTATTGATCTCTGTGTGCGAATCTATGGATTTCTGTGTGAGTTTTTGGGCCTTTGAGTGTATGGATCTCTGTGTGAGGCTATGGGTCTCTGTGCATGTCTATCAGTCTCTGTGAGTATGGGGTCGCTGTGTGAGTCTGAGTGTTTGTAGGAATGTATGGGTCTCTGTTGGGGTCTATGGGTTTCTGGGTATGGTTGTTTGTGCGAGTCTTACATGCACAAATTTAACTTAAAAAGGCCATTGAGGGTTGCGGAATTCAAGTTGAATATTAAGTTCCTCGCAGTGCAAGCCAGCTCTCTAGTCGTGTCATTAAACATCCCCTTTAATTCTTTATAATAATAAAATAGACTTACTCCAGGAAAACCACACTGAGTCACAGTCGGGTCCTGAATAGTTTTTTTTTTTAAGTTTTCGACGAATGAATGATGAGTTCTTACACAAGTGGGGGAAACCGGAGCACCTGGAAAAAACCCGTGGGGCAGCACTTTAAACCGTATAGGCAAAGATGGCGATTATCCCACTTTCTGTACTGCCTTCTCCTGGCCAGCCAGCCAGGAGAAGGCACCTGGATGCCCACGGGAAGGGGGTTTCACAACATTCACTGTGTGATCCACTCACCCTTGCTGCCTTCCACTGCTGGATCACAGGCTTGCAACACCACCGCCTGGCGAATAATAGTAATAATTAAAAGTTTTATAGCGAGCACAAGAACGACTCAGAGGCATGAGGAACCACAGCCGTGCAGGAAGGAAGCCACGTGGTGAGCCAGTACCAACAATTGTCCAAGCTCTGCGGTCCTCTATGGAGGCATTATGCGCTAATTAATGACGAGTGTTTATACCAGTGGGGGAAACCGGAGTACCCGGAGAAAACCCATGCGTGCGAGGGTGAAACACTCTATCCCTGTACAGGTGAAGATGGCGATTAGTCCACTTGCTCTACTGCCTTCTCCTGGCGAGTCAGGTTATGGCACCTCGACACCCACGGGAAGGGGATTTGCCAACATCATTGTGCGGTGATTCACCAGCCCTCGCTACCTTCCACAGTGCTGGATTAGAGACGTGCAGTACCAACACCAGGTGGATGATAACAATAATAATAACTTTCTACTTCTAACTTGATAACAATAGGCGAAAAATAACAACAGGCAAATGATAACGACAGGCGAATGAGAACAGTAATTATTATTTCCACTTAGAACTTGATAACAATAATTATTTCTACTTTTAACATAATAACAATTATTTCTATACTGATAACGTGATTACAACAATAATAACAATTTCTACTTTAACTTAATAACAGGCGAATGATAACAGGCAAATGATAAAAACAGGCTCCACAAATCTGGCTGTTGCCTAATGAAGCTAGTTGTAATTACTGGCGAAACGTCGTACTCAGATTGTAAATGTTGTGGCTTGACTCTCCAACACACCGTGAGTTGTACTAGTTACAAATTGGCATGTTCTGCGTACGTGACAACCCTTACTAGTTGGCTGTGTCGGGTGGTGGTGGGTTTTAACGACACATTTATATATTTATGCGATCTAACCCAAAAAAGAAACCTCTTATTATTAGGTTTTTTCGGTAAAGTCACGTAGGTAAAACATTAAAATTAATAAAAGTAAAATAAATAAAAAATCACGACGTTTCGGAGGCAACACAAGCTTCCGTCTTCAGGTGGAACCGTCACAGCCACGACAGCTGTATCAAGTAAATGAGAAATTGCAGGAGCTACCACTCCGTTTATATAATGGTTGGAGAGGGGGGGGGAAGGGCCAAGTACAGCACACTTTTTAAATTCTTTATATTAAGTTCGCTTGCTTGCGTGCTTGCTTGCTTGCTTAGGACCGTGCAAATCTTTCGGTCGTTTTTTAACCCACTTCCCATGATCCAATCGAGCTGACATTTTCCACACAGACTCGTTGTGCCAGACAATTAATGTTCGTGAAAAAAAATTCCCAAAATTTTACACTTTTTAGGCAAAAAAATAATATTTTACATATATTCAAAAGAACTCATTCTTGGCTTTGGCTGAACGTCACAGTATAAGAGCCCAGAGCGTAACCCCTCCACAGGCCGTGGCGGAGTAGCGCAGTTGGTAGCGCCCTCGCTTCCCATGCCAAAGGTCGCGGGATCGATCCCCGCGTCCTCCACAGGCGAATATATTTTTAAATCCTTTATATTAAGTTCGCTGCCACACATATAAAGGATTTATAGTGAAAAACTTTGTTTTTACGGGTTATACTTATTATTAATATGGTAAGGTGAGGCTTAAGAGGGTGAGCCTTTGTTATGGAGAGGTACGGTTTGTGACTCAACCTGTGACAAGGAGACAACAACTAAACATGGTAAACCTGTAATAGTTGTCTGTCAAATAAGATTGGCCAAATAAGTGTAGTTAAATCTTTTTTGCATGGTTAATCACATCTTTCCAATGATTACTCAGTTTTGTAACCATCATCACGGTTGAAATTATGTCTGTGTTTGTATATTTGTATGGCTTCGTGTACAAACCTTTGATGGTAGCCAGGAGGTTTGCAGAGAACCTTGGTCTCGGAAAAGACAATTTCATGAGAGCCCACCGAGTTGTAGCAATGATCGGCAACGGCCGAAGAATCAGTTCTGCCGTGTTTCAGATCTGACTTGTGCTCGTGGACACGATCAGAAACATGACGTTTCGTTTCTCCAATGTAGCAATCACCACAAATGCAACTCAATTTGTAAACTCCAGGATACTGTAAGTCAGGAACGACATCCTTCACAGATGGAATCAGATCACGGATTTTATGCACTTCACTGAATCGGACTTGGATCTTATGTTTGTTTAGAATTTTGGAGATCTTTTTGGTCACGCCTGCTATGTATGGTAACGTGATAGTTTTGGTCGGAGTTTCATGTGGCTGTTTCTGTGTGGTGGGAGAAACAGCTTGGCGGATAGTGCGGTCAGAGTATCCGTTCATCCTGAGGGCCCGATGTACATGTCTTAATTCACCGGCCAGGTGGTGTTGGTCAGAAATGCCATGGGCTCTGTGGTATAGCGTTTTGATGAGAGAATTCTTTTGAGATGGGTGGTGGTGGGAATCCGGTTTCAAGTAGGAATCTGTGTGGATGGCTTTCCTGTAGACAGAATGTCCCAAGGATCCGTCAGGCCTCCTCTCAAACAGAATATCCAAGAATGGTAGTTTACCGTCTTTCTCCACTTCCATGGTGAATCTGATGGATGGGTGTCTAGAATTGATGTGGTCCAAGAAGTGGTTCAATGCTGGGAGGCCATGTGGCCAGATGACGAAAGTGTCATCCACATACCTCTTCCACAGAGAAGGACGCTGGGTGGATGTATGGATGGCGTCTGATTCAAACTTTTCCATGAACATGTTGGCTATAACTGGTGACAAGGGGGAGCCCATAGGGGTACCCTCATTCTGTTTGTAGAAGGTGCCATTCCGGGTAAAATAGGTGTTGGTGAGGCAATGCCTAACCAGCGCAGGTACATCAGAATTCAATCCATGTTGGACTAAGTCCTCAATTATTGTTAGGGTGTCCGGTACTGGGACTTTGGTGAACAAAGATACTACATCAAAGCTGACGAGGATGTCATCAGGAGATAGTACCATGTCCTTAACCATAGAGACTAATTGGGTTGAGTTGAGTACTGCCGAAGAGGTCTTGCCTGTGAAGGGGAGCAGAGTATCTGATAGAAAACGGGCTAGTTTGTACGTAGGAGAGTTTATCGTCGACACGATGGGTCGTAGCGGGGTGCCTTCTTTATGGATTTTGGGAAGACCATAGAGTCTGGGAGGTCTAGCCGCCGATGGTTTTAGAGGGACGTTTGCTTGGATCGATTAGGGAAGTCGAACTCGTGATGATACTGTTGGTTTTTGTCGTTAGGCTTTTAGTGGGATCGTTTTTAATTTTGGAGTAACTCCCATCATTAAGGTCCAGGATTTTGTTGTTGTATGAATCTTTATCCATGATGACCGTGCCTTGTCTGCCGAGAGGATGACTATATCATCTCTCTTTTTTAGGTCCGCGAGTTCAGAGCGTTCGTTTTTGCTGATGTTACTAGTGGGTTTCGTAGCATTCTTAAGAATAGTAGCTATTTCAGCTCTTGCTACATCTGCATGGATGTGTCCTATGCCTCTGAGGGCTACATCAATCTGAGAAACAGTATCATCACGAGTTCGACTTCCCTAATCGAACCAAGCAAACGTCCCTCTCTAAAACCATCGGCGGCTAGACCTCCCAGACTCTATGGTCTTCCCAAAATCCATAAAGAAGGCACGCCGCTACGACCCATCGTGTCGATGATAAACTCTCCTACGTACAAACTAGCCCGTTTTCTATCAGATACTCTGCTCCCCTTCACAGGCAAGACCTCTTCGGCAGTACTCAACTCAACCCAATTAGTCTCTATGGTTAAGGACATGGTACTATCTCCTGATGACATCCTCGTCAGCTTTGATGTAGTATCTTTGTTCACCAAAGTCCCAGTACCGGACACCCTAACAATAATTGAGGACTTAGTCCAACATGGATTGAATTCTGATGTACCTGCGCTGGTTAGGCATTGCCTCACCAACACCTATTTTACCTGGAATGGCACCTTCTACAAACAGAATGAGGGTACCCCTATGGGCTCCCCCTTGTCACCAGTTATAGCCAACATGTTCATGGGAAAGTTTGAATCAGACGCCATCCAGACATCCACCCTGCGTCCTTCCCTGTGGAAGAGGTATGTGGATGACACTTTCGTCATCTGGCCACATGGCCTCCCAGCATTGAACCACTTCTTGGACCACATCAATTCTAGACACCCATCCATCAGATTCACCATGGAAGTGGAGAAAGACGGTAAACTACCATTCTTGGATATTCTGTTTGAGAGGAGGCCTGACGGATCCTTGGGACATTCTGTCTACAGGAAAGCCACCCACACAGATTCCTACTTGAAACCGGATTCGCCCACCACCCATTTCAAAAGAATTCTCTCATCAAAACGCTATACCACAGAGCCCATGGCATTTCTGACCAACACCACCTGGCCGGTGAATTAAGACATGTACATCGGGCCCTCAGGATGAACGGATACTCTGACCGCATTATCTGCCAAGCTGTTTCTCCCACCACACAGAAACAGCCACATGAAACTCCGACCAAAACTATCACGTTACCATACATAGCATGCGTGACCAAAAAGATCTCCAAAATTCTAAACAAACATAAGATCCAAGTCCGATTCAGTACAGTGCATAAAATCCGTGATCTGATTCCATCTGTGAAGGATGTCGTTCCTGACTTACAGTATCCTGGAGTCTACAAATTGAGTTGCATTTGTGGTGATTGCTACATTGGAGAAACGAAACGTCATGTTTCTGATCGTGTCCGCGAGCACAAGTCAGATCTGAAACACGGCAGAACTGATTCTTCGGCCGTTGCCGATCATTGCTACAACTCGGTGGGCTCTCATGAAATTGTCTTTTCCGAGACCAAGGTTCTCTGCAAACCTCCTGGCTACCATCAAAGGTTTGTACACGAAGCCATACAAATATACAAACACAGACATAATTTCAACCGTGATGATGGTTACAAACTGAGTAATCATTGGAAAGATGTGATTAACCATGCAAAAAAGATTTAACTACACTTATTTGGCCAATCTTATTTGACAGACAACTATTGCAGGTTTACCATGTTTAGTTGTTGTCTCCTTGTCACAGGTTGAGTCACAAACCGTACCTCTCCATAACAAAGGCTCACCCTCTTAAGCCTCACCTTACCATATTAATAAAAAGTGTGCTGTACTTGCCCCCCCCCCTCTCCAACCATTATAAAAACGGAGTGGTAGCTCCTGCAATCTCTCATTTACTTGATACAGCTGTCGTGGCTGTGACGGTTCCACCTGAAGACGGAAGCTTGTGTTGCCTCCGAAACGTCGTGATTTTTATTTTATTTTACTTTTATTCATTTTAATGTTTTACCTACGTGACTTTACTGAAAAAAACCTTAGAATATGCAGTCACGAAAGCTTCAAATCTAAAAAAAAAGAAACCTCTATTATGTATGATATTGGTCGCGAAAGTCTACGTGTTAAACAAACCCGAAGGAATCAGAGGAAAATCGACGTGACCACGAGAGAAGATGCAAACTCCAAATATACAGACATCAGGGTTGGGGTCAAACCTACGAATTCCAATATACCAGTTTAACACGTCGGCTTTCGCGAGGGGTTTCCATCTCGCCACTGTGGCGCCTCATTATCTGACTCACCCAACCACTAAACTACAAAAGCCACCCACACACACACACTCACCCACTCACTCTGCCACCCACTCAACTGCTAACTCACTTGCTCATGCACACACACAGCCACTCAAGAACATACCTGTGCACCCACCTACACACCCACTCATTAACTCAACGACCCACCCACCAACCCACTCACTCACTCACTCTAGACTCCACTCACCCACCCACTCACCTATTCACTCCCCCACTCACACACCCACCCATCCACCCACCCACTCTCTAACTCAAACACTCACCCACCAACCCAACCACCCACTCAATCAATCACCCACCAACCACTCACCCACCCAATAAACGAAAACTGAACTATTTCTCGATTTAAAGCTTTCGTGACTGCAGGGATTCATCTTCTTGGTTCTTTCGGTAAAGTCACGTATTTTTATTTTTATTACTTCCCTTCTACGTGACTTTACCGAAAGAACCAAGAAGATGAACTATTTCTCATTGTACCAGCTAAGGCCCACAGAGCTATATAGATCTTTTTCAAAAGCGACCTTGTTACAAATTACAGGTAAACAAAGTGGCTTATCACATATACATGCATTGCAGCCAAATCCTCTGAATGCAAGTTTATTCTCAATGCAGAGGTAAAACCCCGAGGACCCGGAGAAAAATCCACGTGACCACAGGGAGAAGATGCAAACTCGAAATATACAGGCGGAAGGTCGGGATCAATTCCATGACCTCCTGTATACTATGCAAGGTAGTTACCATCTCACCACCGTGGCACCCCATTCTCTGACTCACTCACTCAAACACCACCCATTCACCTATTCACGCACACACTTACTCAAATACCCACCCTCTCACTCAATAACCCATCCACTCACTCATGAACCCACTGAAGCACTCACCCATACAAAAACCCACTCACCCACTCACTCACCGACTCACTCACCCATGAAATCGCACACCATCTTCTCAACCACTCAGCCAGCCACCCACTCAATCTCGTACCCACTAACCCTCTCACTTCCTCACCAACCTACCAACCCACCAGGGACGTGCGGTCAGGGAGGCAGTGCCTCACCTGTCATACCAATGACAATAGTTGTTACGAAAAGTAAAAAAAAGAGAATAATAAAATAAAATAAAAGATTTTTCCACTGATCTGTGTTATAAATGTCATTTCTGTAAGATTCCACTTTTATAGTTAAAATCGCCAAATTTGCGGAGCTCCGCTGCAAATACAGGAAGAGACGAGAGGTGAGGCAGCGACGAGCTCAGCCTCCCTGATTACGCAACCCCTCAGTTACTGGATGGAGCGCGGGCAATAAGTGCGTGCCTGTTACTATCACAGTATGTCACCAATGTAATGTTTGTAGACCCCTTCATTTCATGTCCTCGCCTTCCATACTCCAGGTAACTTATTTCACGTATGTGTATAAAGATATTTAGGCTCGCTGGTCTCGTCATGAAACTGCAATGAAAAAGCACCAGGGGAGGTAGCCATCACATTTGCCTCACTGAGGGGGATGCATCTAACACGCCCCCTCCGTGAGGCCACGTCCCCCTCAGTGTGTGAATCTGGCTCTGACACAAGCCAGTGCCTCCCCAGCCATTGACCTCACCACACGTCACTGCAACCCACCCACCCATCTACTCACTCAACCACCCACCCAGTCGATCATCCACCCACTAACACTCACCCACCCAACAACTCACTAACCACCCAGCACTCACTCACCGAGCCAGTCAATCTCTAACCCACAACTCACTTTTAAACTGACAATCTCAACTACAACTCACCCAGTCACTAACCCACTCACTCCCACATAACCATCTAACTCACATACTCACCCAGCCACTCACCTACTCACCCAGTCACATACACATCCACTCACCATGCCACCCACTCAATTTCTAACCCACCCACTCGCCCAACCACTCCCTCAGCAACTCACCCACTAACCACGTAATTATTCACCCACCCACCCATCACTCAACCACCCAATAATTCAACCACCAAAACATTCCACCACCCACTAACTCAACCACCCACTACCACCCACTAACTCAACCACCGAGCCACTCACCCACTCACCCACCCACCCACGCACTCACCCGCCCACTCACCAACACACTAAACTAAATCTAAATTGTGGTTATTTTACCAGGTAAGGCCGACAGAGCTAAACATCTTTTTCAGAAATGACCTGGTTAAAAATTATAGGTCAACGAAGTGGCTTATGACATGTATTGCAGCCAAATCCTATAAATGTTTGTTTGATTTTAAATGTGGAGGGAAATATACAGGTGTCAGGGTCGGGATCAAACCCACAACCTTCTGCATACCAGGCGAGGTAGTTAACATCTCGCCACCATGGCGCCCCACTGTCTGACTCTCCCACCCACTAACCCACACACTCACCCACTCATTCAATCACCCACTCACTCACTCAACTACTGAGCCATTCATACACTGACCCACTCACTAAGCCACCCACTCAATTTCTAACTCACACTCATGCACCCAACCACTCACTCACTCAGCGACTCACCTACGACGCATCAACCCATCCACTCACTCATCCACCCACGCACCCACCCACACACGCACGCACCACTCATCCACACAATAAACTAATATTTAATTGTTTTTCATTTTACTGGGTAAGGCCCTGAGCTATAGATATTTGTCGGAAGCCACCTCAGCACAAATGACAGTTCAATTAAGTGGCTTTTCACGTAGAATGTTATTTGCAACCAAATTATATAAATGCATGTTCAAATGTGGAGGGACAACCTGGAGAAAATTCTACACGACCACGGGGAGAACATAGAAACTCCAAATATCCAAGCGGAAGGGCTGGGATAAAATCCACAACCTCCTGTATACTGGGCGAGGTAGTTAACATCTCGGCACCATGGTGCCTCACTCTCCGACTCACCCACCCACTAACACACGAACTCACCTCCCATATTCACACACCCATCTACCCAAAAACTCAACCACCCACACATTCACGCAACAATGCACTCACCCACCCACTCACTTATTCACCCACCCACTAAACCATGCACCTGTCCACTCACCTATTTATCCACCCACTCACACACCCATTAAGCAACCCACCCACTTACCCTGCCACCCACTCAATCTCTAACCGACTCACTCACCCAGCCACGCAATCTCGAACCACCAATTCACTAATCCTCTCACCAACTCACCAACCCACCTCTCACCCACTCATGCGCTGACCCACCCACTCACTCACCTCAACCATTCACAAAACCCACCACCCACTCATTCACCCAAACCCACCACCCACTCAATCTCTAAACCCATTCACCCACCCACTCAGCCACCCACTAACTCACCCAACCACTCGTCTATTCACTCCCAAACAACACACCCACTCACGTCACCCATGGCTTACCCTATCACCCACCAATCTCTAACACACTCACTCACCTACTTCCTCGATCACTGACCCACACTCACAGACCCACCAGTTAATCACCCACTCTATATGTAGTCCTTACCTCTTCTGGTAATGTGAGATATTCTTTTACCAGGTAAGGCCCACTGATGGTTCAACAAAGTCGCTGTATACATTTATTGCACCCAATTCCTCTTATTACATGTTTCTACATGTGGAGTGAAATATACAGGCGTCAGGGTCGGGATCGAACCCACAACATTCTGTATAGTAGGCGAGGTAGTTACCATCTTGCCACCGTGGCGCTAAATTCTTTGACTCACCCACTCAAACTACTAAAGACACCCACTAACCGACTCACAAAC